GTCCTGCTTACACTTAGTAGTTATTTGTGAATAACTTTTTGACCATTTGAAAACAATAGAAAGTGGATTCCATTTGAGTAGCTACAGGACTATATTTGTTTCCCACTTCTACGACAAAATGTAACATTACGACCGAATAGTAACAACCTGAGGGTTGTTCTTCACTCAAGTTATCCATGTTACTGGTGAGCAGCCTTTTGGTTTTCCTGGTTGTTACACGCTTATTTCATTCCGCTGTCCTGTACACAATACGAAAAAATACAGTAACCCAGGCAGTTGCAAAATGTTGGCGCTGTTGAACTCATTTCACTACAGCAACATAACTTTCACATTCCTTGCCTTTTGGGAAACCTGCCACCATGTTAAATATGACCCTATTGTAAGATGAATTTTGTCGCTTTTTCATCCACTTCAGTTACTGTGGCTAGAAAACTTATGTAGCAACATAACTTGCCTTTTGGGAACCCTGCCACCATGTTAAATATGGCCCTATTGTAAGATGAATTTTGTCACTTTTTCATCAACTTCAGTTACTGTGGCTAGAAAACTTATGCCAAATCGGGCTCGACACGTTGGCTGTTAGTACCGATTCACCGCGTCGCTTGTCAGTTGCAATTATTTTGCTCATAGCCACTTAGACAATAATATTTGTAGTTCTCTCCTCTCCTACATCCCGGGTAAGCTTTACCACCTTTTTCTATGCACGCTTCAGTAAGGAATTTCAAAGTAGTAAACCACTCAAATCTGCGTAACAGTGTGTAACAACCAATGTTTATAGAGATATCTCATCTGCTGTTGAGATAATGGATGCATGGGGGTTTATGCCAACTTTATACACCCATTAAAAATCGAACTGCAAGTTTACCTATTCAGGCTGGAATGAGTCGTTGGTGCTTGTGTTTGTTCTTAGTGGAACGGATTGTAAAATGGATGACGCAGTACTAGTGTAACGGTGATACTACTGATGGGGAGGCACGCGAGTATTATGTGTTGTTCGTAGAATTTCGCTTTACGTCTATTGAAAAAGGGAGATCTGTTGCGGAATTCGTGAAGCCACTTTGTAAAATTTGCTTGGATTTGACAGACGAATGAGTGGAGTCAATGAATCTCCAGGAAAGTTCAAGAAGACTCGTTCGGGAGAAGATCGGTGTCCAGTTTTTGTAACTAAGATGCAGATTAGAGTTTTGCTTCCTGTTAAAGGGTCTATAACCGGTCAATTTGCATTTCCTAATAAATAACTCCGAAGCGAAGGCCTTCTTCCTTTAATTGGTAGCTGTGAATTCAACGCAAGGGGGTGGCTTCATGAGGCCATTCATGAGGAGCAAATGAAGCGGGCTCGATTACACTTATGATATGCTTCCGGATGCATTATAACAGCTACAAAGCCATTTTCTGAGACGGTGATGTTGCTGAGTTGAGCAACCAGATGTTTTGTAATGTAAAAGGCAACATAATAAGAGGCCAGCCAGAGTACTCTAAAGGCTTGAGCAATCAGCTACTTCTTAAGAAAAGCTTTTGATTTGAAGAAACAAATATAGCAGAACACCAAAATCATGGACATTTCGACCAAGCACGCGATTTCGAGTTTCGTTAAAATTTCTACACGAACTATGGTTATCCGCCAAACGGGGTAGTAAATGGAGAGCAAATAAAAAGAAGTGAAACTGAAAAAAACTACTTTCTAGGTGCCCACTTTATTACCCCGATATCAGTTAGTAGAGCAGCATGATGCCTGCTGTTTGGTAAAAAAAAGTAACTTTGAGGAAGGATTGTAAGTTCATCACAGTGCACTCCAAAACGACCAATTTAAGTCGGACTAATTTCATTGAGTGGCAATATCGGAAATTTTTTCTGTGACCACCTATAAGTTGGATGAAAATGAAGTGTAGTAGTGTTTTCGTGCGCATTTAAAGATTAGGGACTGTTTTATCTTTCAGATTTTGAAATAGTCACAAACTTGTTCGCCACTTGCAGCCTATAGTGCACATTCTCCCGCTAGATCTGTTTGCTTTATGCGAGTATATCAATGAAAGCCCGCAACCAGCAGATGGAAAATATATCCTTGAATTGAGGAGCGATGACCGCCGGGACCAGTCTTATCTGTATCCAACACGCACTGGTCGCACGCATTGGTTTCCTAAACGACCATTTTTTCGACAGCAGTGGTTGTTCCTGAATTTAGATCCTCGGTTTGTTCTCTCATATTGTTTACTTCTAGGATATTTATTCTCCACTTCTCGAACCTCCTTCACATTAGCGCAGTAATTCGACTGCTACAGCACTGTTTTATTTATCCTGTAGTCGGGACCACGCGCTGTTTGATGTTCGTTCGAGTTAGAGGAAAAATGCGAGGAGTACATTGTTTAATCTGAGATTGTTTACGAAGATATCGCACTAAACAGCAAGGTGGTTTGCTAACCAAACTAGTGATAAAACTAGAGAAGTAGTTTCGGTGTTTAATCAACATTCTAAATGGATTCCGCCAATTTGTGATTAAGTTTACAGTAGTATATTTAATCTGCTGTTTTACCCAAACTCGGGTCCGAAGATAGTTTATCAGGATTACTTGCCTTCTAACATTGGAACAGCTCAGGTAGCGTAGATGGTCGTTGGCTTGTTCGCTGAGCTGGGCAATTCGGTTGCAAACGTTTCATCACCAATCGAGGTGACATCATCAGTGCGTAGTTG